GTGACGTAGGTATGTGGGGGCGTGTTAGAACGAGCCGTTTTAGGTAGGTGTGGTTGACTCTTAACTTTTATAAAGAATATCTCTTTGGATTTGAGACTTTAGTCTTTGCAACTTTACAGATCTTCTTTATGCACCAAGAGCTTGTAACACTCCAAAGAGAAAGGAAAAGTTGAAATCGCATCATATGACCCCTTTAACATAAAACTTGTATGAACTTGTGGCAACCTAACATATGAAAATGTTCATAATAACATAATTGCAATAATGTTCTATTAGTAAAGGGGGGAACAAACCTTCCTGAGTTTACTTGGAACACATTCGGACTCACTATTGTCCGTTTTTGAGGTACGTTACACTTCTTGAATCAAGGCCTTAATATCACGTGCTGACAGTACTGTGCCCTGTTTTCTCCTGCCTTGCTTCCTGGCCTTTCTTTCAGCTCTTCTTCCATTATCTCCCTCTCTCCACAACGTACTTCAATTTCCAGTTCTCTCAGCTGCATTGTTGCGTCCTTCAGCGTTGCAAGCGTTTTCTCCCCAGTGCTAAGTTTCAGTTTCAGTTGTGCCGGACTTTTTAGACTTTTGCTCTTCTCTTCTGAAGGTCCGGAGAATAGCCTTGGTCAAAGAAAATTTGCCTTTCTTGGAAGTGAATCTGACCCTGGCTCCACGCTTGTCTGATGATTGTGTCTTTCACCACTGCATCCAGGAATCTTATGATAATCGACCTGGGGGGAGCTGTTGGGTCCACTGGCTTTGGTTGCTAATGAGCGATGTGCCCTCTCGATCTTAATATCCATGTCTGGTGGTAAATTAAGCACGTCATTCAGCAACTTCTTCACAAATCCTGCCATATCTTTTCCTTCACTTCCTTCTGGTATCTGATAGATTCGGATGTTATTGCGCCTCATTCTGTTTTCAAGTTAATCACACTTTGCAGTGAGATCCACATCCCGGTGGAGCAGGTACTTTAATGCCCTCTTATGTCGCATCATTATATCTTCCACGTGCTTATTCTCTCTTCCACCTTTTCGATTCTCTCCTCGTGTTCAGTTAATTGATCCTTTATATCTTTGACCGTTTGCTCCACTCTTTCTAGGGACATCTTAGTGTAATTGTGTCCTTCTTGATTTTCTTTACGGAGTTTCTTTAATTCCTTCAGCACATCTTGATCTTGCTGACGTCCATTACCATTGCCTATGCTAATTGGACTCGGTGTTCTCCGTTTTTCTTCCTTTTCCTCCTTATCTTCTTTCTTTCTTTCCTCCTTTGGTGCTCATCTTTTGTCTCGAAGTCAAACTCATTTCACCGGTGAACTTGTTTTTCTTTATTTTAAATGCTAGAATTTATCGTTGCCATTTAATGCTCAAGTTTTTGGCTGAACTGTTTAATGCTGCTTACTCGTAGCGCCACCGGAAGTCCAGCTTTAACTTTAAAATGTACAAAATGTAAATTTTTCCCAATTCCTTGTCTTTTTTGAAAATTTTTTTCATATTGCAATAAATATCGTATTGTGGTCTTCATATCACGATATTATCGTATCGTGAGATTTTGATATAATTACATCCCTAGTGCTTGATTTGTTTTACCACATGCACTGATTAGTATATCTATAGACGTATACTATAAGTTACCTTGCAGGAGCATAGGAATGAGTTGAAAAGAAACTGATAAAACCGATTTTGCTTCAGGTCGGCATAAAATGAAAATTTACCCTACCTATTTAAAAAAAAAATAATAATAATAATTTAACTCGTAATTCTTAATCAATTTCGAACAAGTGCACATTCAGCAAGTTTGCCTCCACCTACTCAACAAATGATGGAATGAACCAAGTATATGTTTATCATTTTCAATAATTGTTTCACTCAGATGTACCTATGTCATAGTATGGAAGAAATTATGTTGCTATTTCCATTTCTTTGTGACTTTAAAGGGGTCATGAACTGAGAAATCAAAATTCCCTTTGATCTTTTGGCATATAAGAGGCCAATGTGCTATAAAAACATTCTGTAAGTTTGTTTCAGAACTCAGAACTTTTTCGTTAGTCTAAAAACGGCTTATATTGAAGCCAGTTTGACAAAACGACAGCTTGTGGAATATGCCACTCTATGATGTAATAGTGTGGCTAAGCACCACCAATCGATAATAATCGATTTTATCGATTAGTTGTTGCAGCCCTAGTGTAAATAACAAGAGAGGCGAACACAGGTCTACACAGAAACCAAACGATAAAGATGCTCTGAAGACAACAAGATGCTGTGCAGTGCTAAGTTGTGGAAAAACAGTCTTTGCATTGCCTTCCTTCTGATCTCAAAGTTAGGAAAGAGTGAATGAACTTTGTTAATGAAGTTCCAGACCGTGTCCATAAGAATCCTTTGTTCACTTCATTTTATTGCGGATTCGTTTACAAACAAGGTACAATTTGAGGCAGGATTTTCAAAAAGATTGAAACTGAAAGACAATGCTGTACCAACTGTTATGTTCCGACAGTAATGCCGCACCAATGTCGTGTGAGTAATAATAAGAATAAACTGTTTTTATTGTGGCCACTATTGCTTTGTCTTAATACAGATCTTTTGATATGTACTGAGTATTTATGCAGTTTTAATCTAAATCACAGTAGCGTCCGTCTGTAAAGCATGTAGGCTGTCAAACATACACAAGTGTTAGCCAATCATAGCAGTGGGCGTTTACTTCAGAGTCTACAATCCGCCACGCCTATTCAAACGGAGCGATCTGATGAGGGGGGTTAAAAATGGACAGAAAATAGCCTATTACTTCAAAATGATGTTTTTTTTAATGTAAAAACCTTGATAACATTACAAGTGGACCTCAGAGAACAGTACAAAATAAAAAACAAAGGCAGTTCATGACCCTTTTAAAATGTTATGCTTATAATACAACAGATTTTTTTTCTTTAGAATTTATATCATAAAATTGCAAAATAGAAGCATTTTGGTTAATCACAAGTTATGATTTAACAATATATACATTTAACATTATAGTAATGGGGACTTTTTCTCAGCAATTGGAATCTTTTGAATATCTTCACTAAAAGGATTTGTTTGGCTTGGTTTCCTGAATGGTTCAGTCACTCTTTCTGCATGTTACATTGTTACACCAGGAGGTGGTGACAAATAATTATTTTGTGTTATGAGTGACTCACTAAATCATTCACTCAACTGACTTGTTCACAGATGCCTCACTGATTCAGTTTGTTTACATATTCGTTCAGTAGGTCCAACAAATAAAAGTTTCCTTTAAAACACGGAAATTCAAAACTATGAGTATATGATTCATTCCCTAAATGATTCATTTAGAAAACACTGATTTACTCAAATACAAAATACTACTTTTTAGTATAAATGTTGCAAAGTGGTCATCACTGAGATTTGGTATTTTTTTGCGATATTAAAGTCCCTCTTTGTTTTTCTCTCAGGTTGTTGCACAGGGGTTTGGAGGTGCATGTGACAGCTCACACCAATTGCGGGGACTCGGAGTATGGCCTTAGCTGGATGCCCAGACTACTTCCTCCATCATCCAAACTACCAGGTAAAGCCTAGTATAGAAGTATCTGTATTGCTTCTTCTGAAGCAATGGTGTCTACAGAGCTTTCAAGTTCAGTAGGGCACTGTTTCAGTGTTCCCTGACCGTGCTGTAATGACTCTTCGAGTGGAATCTGCACGCAAACCTGAGCGCTCACATGCACAAATCCTCCTGAACTAGCTCAAGGGGACTCATCGCTTCAGAACAGTGGTTCCTGAGGGCTCTGTGGCATGTCCGCATGCCTTTCGTCACCATGGTGCTGCACAGCTGACATGCTGACATGCAAAGTGGCGGCTGTTGCTATTTATACCCGGGCTACGCAGTCAGCCCTCTCTCTCTATATTTGACTTTGCTTGTCTTCTCACTCTCTCTAATATGATTCCTTTTGTTTAAATTTGATAAACTATCCAGCACTTCCACAAACTGTTTCTTTCTCAGACCCTCTCCCTTCTTCGCTGCCCGTACCTGGGATGGCTATACAAGTGGCTGGTGCTTGTGAATGTGGCAGAGCTTGAGTGTATACGGTGAAGGCAGGGGTGTGGGCTGCCCTCTGTCTGTGGCCGTATATAACTCTGCAGGGGGTTTCTCAGAGCCACAGGCACCTGGCCTGGATCTTCTCAAGCAGGGGTGCAACGCAGCCCAAATATTCACTTCAGGCATACACAACTCAGGCACCCTGGCTTCCACTGTGGTTCTGCTCTTTTTCTCTTTGAGGCATTAAAGGGACCGTAGTCCACTTTCACATTTATTTATTTATAATGTGACCAAAATACTTAAAATTAAATCTTTAAATAAATCTTTAAATAAATTGCGTGATGGAGATTTACCGCTGATTACAGAATGACTTTACTGACAAGATGCGCGTTAAATATCGCATGCGATTTATCGTGCAGCCCTATTAAATACCTAATGAAATTATTAATAAAACATTCAAAAATCCAATGTCTTTGGATTGAAATTAAGCCAGAGTTAATGATAAAATGAATGCAAACTAATTCTAAAATGAAATACAACAGATATTTATTCATGTGTATTATAATTTAATAATTTATTTATTACATTAATTGATATAACTTTTTATAGGCTTTTTTATGCCTTTATTTGGACAGGACAGTATAATTGGGTGGAGAGAGATGGGAGTGGGTTTGGCAAAGGGCCATGTGACGGGATTCGAACTCGGGTCACCGTGAGCGCAGTTGTATTTAGGGATGCACCAATCCGATACTGCCATTTCCTGCCGGATTGGGTCAGACGAGACCGATCCAAATCCGATAATGTTTGTAAACTATTGTGTTATTGTGAAGCCCCATGAAATGCACAAAAACTTTACAAAGCACCATAAAGTTCTCGTGCACTATATTCCAAGTGTTCTGAAGCCGTTCCATAGTTTAATGTGAGGTACAGATGAATATATAAATTAAATTCAAGTTCACGTAAACTCTTCTTTCTGCTGCGGCTGTCTGTTATCCTCCATTCAGCATTCAAACTACGTGTTTCATTCGGTTGTGACAGTCAAGATACTCTGTATCGAATTGGAGATATTTTTCATTATTAACAAATTCATTTATTTTTCAGAGATTTATCAGTATTATTGAAATTGTGCATGCTTATTTCTCATATATTTTTATGTTTTGAAGTTAATCTTTAAAAATGCTTTTAAATGTAATCTTTAGCAAATCTCATAGTATATGCATTTTTCATATTGGACATTGTATCATCCTGTACATTTATAAAAATGCTTAAATTCAAATGCATTTAGTTTTTAGGTTTGTTTATATATTTAGACAATAGTATAGAATTTTTAATATTGACCATTTATCGCTATGACATGAAAATATTTAGTAGCTTATTGTAATTGGCCAGAATTTTAAAGGGGTCATGAACTGCCTTTGTTTTTGTATTTTGTACTGTTCTCTGAGGTCCACTTACAATGTTATCAAGATTTTTACATAAAAAAAACATCATAATTTAGAAGTAATCGGCTATTTTCTGTCTGTTTTTAACCCCCTCATCAGAATGCTCTGTTTGAATAGGCGTGGCGGATTGTAGACTCGGAAGTAAACGGCCACTGCTATGATTGGCTAACAGCTGTGTATGTTTGACAGCGTACGTTCCTCACAGATGGATGCTGCTGTGATTTATGTCAAAAAGGCATAAACAACTCAATAAATATCAAACGACCTGTAAGAAGAGACAAAGCAATAGTGACCACGTAATGAAAACAGTTACTCACACGTATGTTGCTACATTGCTGTCGGATTTAATCTTTTTGAAAATACTGAATCAAATTGTGCCTTGTTTGTAAACGAATTTGCGGTAAAATAAAGTGAACAAAGGACCAAGTTCTTCCTGACACGGTCTGGATCTTCAATAAAAATAAAGATCATTCACTCTTTCCTTACATTGGGATCAGAAGTAAGGCAACGCAAACACTGTTTTTCCACAACTTGGCACTGCACAGCGTATTGTTGTCTTCAGAGCATCTTTGTGTGGTTTCTGCGTAGACCTGTGTTCGCCTCTCTTGTAAACACTACATGCTCGAATTGGTGGGTGGGGCTAAACAGGCAGTGATGTAGAAGCAGGCATTGATCTTCCTCTGTGGAGGCGGTGCTTATCCACACTATTACATCATAGAGTAGAACATTCCACAAGCTGTTGTTTTGGCAGACTGCCTTCAATATAAGCTTTTTTTAGACTAATGACAAAGTTTTGAGTTCTGAAACTTACAGGATGTCTTTATAGTACAATGACTTCTTATATGTCAAAAGATCAAGGGAATTTTGGTTTCTCAGTTCATGTCCCTTTTATATCAGGTTATCCCTGTATTTTCTTCCTTTTTTTTTTTTGGTGTACACTTACTTTTTCTTTTCTTCCTGCCCAGTGTTTCTCTATATGTATTCTTATTGATTTTTTTCCTGAGAAGTGTACATCTTTGTTTAATCTTTCTTAGTATCATATCTGCAAATTTAGTTCAGTCAGTCTGTTATTTCTTTTCCTCTTTAGGTATGGTTAGGGATTAGTTCCGTGGAGAGTTGCAATTCTTAAGTTGCTTGTAGTTAATGAGGATGACGATTAGGCTCAGAGGTCATAGGTCAAAAGGAGACTTGGAATTGTGTTTCAGGTTTATAGCTGGGTGTCTGGTCACCAAGAGCCAAATGGGAAAGTTGAGCAGTTGTGTTTATGTTTGTGTATCACATCAGCGCCTAGAATGGCCAAGTTATGGCTTTCAGGGTCAGAGGTCAACTCCAAAATGCTTTGGATTTCTAACCACTCTTTAGCCTAGTCAATAGCCAAGGCTCTACTTGGGTCATGTGACCTGCCTTTCTAGGAAATTCTCTGCCTTTGTTGCCCCGTGGAATCAGCTGGGGGGTTAAGGTTTACATAACGGACACAAGGCCTGGAGCCCATCCAAGTATAACACACACACACACACACATATATATACACACACCCTCTCGCATTCCTCTGTCAACCCCTGCTACAGATCCTGGTGCGTTCCATTTTTGAGCTTCCTTGAAGAGAGTAAAAAGTATGTAAAAAGCCTTTACAGTTTGAATTTAAAGTAATATGGCCCAAATTCAACCCGGTTTAATTGAGCAAATAAAAAGTGAATAACTTCTGTTGGTGTGCAGCATTTTTTGGTCTTTTAACACTGCTCAAGATTAACAGTACACTGGCTGAAGCATTAGAGAAGCTTTCTCAGAGCTGTAAATTTCCCTTCTCGTTTTTATAGATGTTTTTCTCTTTTCTGAGAGCCGGCTGGCTTGGTGCAGCATGAAGAGAGAGCAGAAGAGAGACATGGAAAGAAGGCAGGCAGAAAAGAGAGCATGGGGACCTCTGGCAGAGGCTAGTTCCTGGAAACTCGGCTTCCATGTTCTTAGGTTTCCTAGAAAACTGGAAATTGAAAATGTGGCTTTATTTTTATTTTTATTTTTTTCTTGGACTACTACTCTCAGCTTTGTGCATTCTGCTTTGAATTATATGGTGTGAGATTGTGTGTGCGGTTTGAGAGCACTAGAGCTGTTGTTTTAGGTTATGGACATATGTTTTTTATTTTATCCAATAGATAAATAACCTATTTGATGTATTATTTCAGAGATGAAGTCTATATTGGAGTATTTGCCCATTTCCAAATTATAACTGAGATGTAAACTATGACATTAAAGAATAGGTCACCCAAAAACTGTCATCATTTACTCACCCTTATGCTGGTCACTTTCTTTAGTGGAACGCAAAAGAAGATTGGGGCTCTCAAGCTTCAAAAAGCATGCAAAATCATCATTAAAGTATCATAAAAATATTCCATATGGTTCGTGATGATCTTCCAAGTCATTTGTTAGTTTTATGGGAGAAATAGACCAAAACTTATTCACTGATAATCTTCCCTTCTTACTGGACCATTAAGTCAAAAAGTCAAAACTGGATCAGTTAGTTTTGTAAACTGGATCAACTAATTCATTAAAAGATCCGATTCAGAAAAATTATTCACTCATGATCAGGAATCAGAAATCGCTGATACATTCATGAATGCAGATGTCAAAATTTTCACTGAGTAACATTGTAAATTTCAGTCTGCTCCTCACACAAAGAAATCACATGACTTCAGAAGATTTGAAATATAGAGCACAGTGGTCGTATGTATTGTTTCTTATTGTGTTACTATGCAATTTATTGTTTTCAATGATTATGAAAACAAAATAATTGTAATAAAACAATTTCTGTGCCGTATTCCATTTCACTCTTGTTTTATGTTAGGAATCCATTTCCCCCCCTTTTCCTTGAAAGCACTCGCCCTTCCCTAAATGTTTATTAGTTTTCAGGAGGTTGTGAAAGTGCACCACTACAACATAGTTGATATTATTTGGTTTTTAAAAAATATAATTTGTATATTATTCATTTAAATGTATTTCAATCATGACAACTCTCGGAAGATTTTAGCATGGTGATGGATATGATAATGTTATTGTATTTGGTCTTGGCAGATTAGATCTGCCAATGCATATGGCGATACGGTGCCATGAGTATTTAAGACATACTGCTGCTGCACAAATAGCATATAAAATAACCCATAGCAGATCTATGCAGGTGGAGCTGGGGAAGGTGGAGGGTTTCAGAGAAACTCTGAAAGCGCGCTGCAGGAGTCTCAAGTGAATGCTAGCCAGCCATATAAATGCAAGGCAGTAAGCTCATTGGCTGCATATGCAGCATGAACCAATCAACTTGTGCCAAGTGGTTTAACTCTCTGAATATCATCAGTTACATTAACAACCCGTCAGCCTGCGCCATCTAGAGTTTCATGACTGAACTATATATATACTTATATGTAAGTGTATGTAATATAATATATTGTAATCTTGTGATCCCAATATTAACCAAGATATTTGATTGATTTGTCATCATTGAGCAGCCTTGCTTTCAATCCTCATTTATTTTCATTATTTTGAAGTGACCAGTATTCTATTTTATTTTTTCAAAAAATGTACTTTTTTTTTTTTACTTGATAGAAGAAAGTAAATCATACAAGAACATTATAAGGGTGAGCAAGTGATAACAACATCCTCATTTTTTGGGTGGTGAATGGTTCCATTAAAGATTAGAAGTATCTACATTAGAAGCACACTATAGCCTGAAATTCTCATAAAGTATTGGTCATGGCATAAAGTGGCGGAGACATCAGCTTGCATGCATCTCTTCATATATATAATTTTTATGTACTTGAGCTGTCTGACCTTCTCCGTTTTTTTTTTCTTCAGGACAATGTTGACTGCACCCCCTCTCACAGACCATCAAATCTCATCGGTTCAAGCTTCCAGCAGTCGTCCAATCGGAATTCTCCTAATCACCCAGGTGGGTTATTAAAGGGCCATTCTCTGGTTTTATTCCTGTACATTCAATTACTTTAGTTCTGTTGCATTTGTAGTGGCAACATCTAATTGGATTGCACAGGCAGCGTTTGTCCTCAGTAGCATTGTGGAGGTCACTGGGTTCTGTAAGGTCACAGAGGTTACTGGTGACCCCTCCTGTAGCTGCAGTGGTTGTGTGCACTTAGCGTTGTATATCCTCCACGAGCTGTGCAAGTCAGGGCCTTTCCCGAATCGCTAACCGTTTTATAGCCGTGAGCAAAACTGTTGGCCGCAGATCTTGTGTGTGTCTATGTCCTGCTCTGCTCTCCAGATGCTGCCTTGCTTTAACGTGTCATTACCCTGAAGCATATAGATTTTTCAGAAAGCCACAGCAGGCTATTGTGTGTAGACATATATACACTGTGGGCTGGTTGCACTGGTCAGGGTTGTAAGAAATGCTGACATTGATGCATGCATACATCTTCTTGGCTGTCTATTGTTTTTATATAAAGAATTCTAAATACTAATTTATAGTAAGCAACCCACTTAAAGCAGAGGTTTGGGAACTGGGTCCAATGAGCCCCTAGGAGGTCAGAAGGTTTATATATGTGTACACACACACACATATATATATATATTTATCCTTTATACATAAATATAGCTGTCTTTGTATTTTGACAAATGTGTATGCTAAGTAAACGGAGTAAACGGAGTCTTGATGTGGACTTTTTATTAACTTCTACTGTTTATATTGAGGTAATGATGTTTTCTTTCCTCTACTCTGAATCCTCACACAAAATTTTCTGCATTTTTAGATGCTCAATAAGACATTATTTAGTCTGCATATTAAGCCAATGTCCTCGTGGGGACCGTTGATGGCTTCCTAATGGGCAGGGCGAGATGGCAGTACTCCTGTATCCCATACATACACAGACACACACTTGAGGATACACACACAGTGTAAAAGCCTATAAATCTTTCTTGTTGTGTTTGTTTCTGGTCATCTGTGGCAAGCCACTGGGTGGGTGGGGGTGTATGAGTACATGCTTGCACTTACATGCCTGTTTGCGCTCTGTAAGTTGAGGCTGGAGTTATATGAGGTGACCTATATTCAGTACACACACAAAGAGAGAGAGAGAGCTGGGCACATGAGGTTGGACCGTCTTCTGAAACACAGTTCCACAGTGAAGAAAGAGAGCTGAAAGAAAAACAACAGGAAAGAGACAGTCTGTCTGACAGTATTAGCCACTGAAGAGATCTGTGTATCCTCTTTTAAAAAAATCACTGCTAGCTAGGAATCTTCCTTATAGATTGCTAATGAATGTTATAATTAGCTCTGTAGCTAATTGACCATTTATTTGTACTGTGTTGTTTGTTATTGTTAGTTGTTTGACAAGATCTGATATTAATAATCAAGGTATTGTGTCCCTCTTACAATAACTGATAAACCAGAGTGAACTTAAGGTTGTAAGGAAAGTTCTGGAACGTTTGTCAGACTTGTCCACTAAATTAGACCCTTCGCAGGGAGCTTGACTGACAGGCGATCTGACCGAATATATCGCAGAATCCGCCGAAACCGAGAGTAGATTGACTTGAACTTAAAATAGCATGTATTGACATCTTTCCACAGTTGAAATAAAATACCTTCTAATGTTCATTCATGTTTATTTCTTGCTTTAATAGCAACAGTAAGTAAGGGGGGCAGGTCTTTGAAAAGGGTCAATTAGACATGCCCCTCTTTCTAAAACCCGCCCTGAAAACAATCCAGCGGAAATGTTTGTGTTTGTTAGTAAGGTGACTTTAAGGAATGTGAAATGGAGAAAAGAGGAAGGGAGTGTTTGGAAAGACGAGGAAAACAGCTCTCAAAGCATATTCGGACCATTTAGAGCTTAGAGCGGTAAACGGGAAGATGCTCTTTGACAATCACTTGTACTCGCTGTACCTCTTGAAGATCTTGTACTTGTAGTACCTAATTGTTTTACAGTCCTATTCATCTTATTTAATGTGCATGTTTGAGTTTGAGGAGACTTCTCTCATGCACAGGGCACTTGCTGAGCTCTCTCCTTACATTCACGAACACTTACACTCGGACACATGCGGAAGTGTGTGGGTCTGGGGTATGTATGGAATGCACGGCAGTTCGAACGTTGCTGGTATTCTACAGGAAGTCAGAAGCAGAGCTTTGATTTAGATCTGTTTTCGAATCAGCCTCTCTGATTGGTCACTTGTCAGTTGCTAAGGTAACTCGGGTGTTGCTAAATTAATATTCGCTAGCTAGCTTAGTTAAAATTGGCATGAAACGCATTCATCTCTCTCCTCCTTTGAGTGCAGTGGATAGGCCTACATCTCAAAATCCAATCAACAACCAATGAATAAAGGTCCCACCTTAAATTTGTCCTTTATTTTATTTTTTTGTCGGCGCCAATGGCCTCGTGGTTAGTGCGCCGACATACAGCACAACTGTGATCGCGGGGACCTGAGTTTGAATCCCGTCTCATGGTACTTTGCCTATCCCGCTCCATTCTTTCTCCACCCATTGCTTTCCTTCTTCTCTATACTACTGTCCTGTCCAAATAAAGACATAAAAAAGCCCATAAATAAATCTTTAAAAAAAAAATTTTTTTTGGTAATCGTTACGCTCTGTCAAAATGCGCAAGAAAATATCTGTCGCCACTTCTGTTTCATCGCAACTATATATTAGTTAATATTTGTTTGCAGTTGATAAAAGTTTGAACAATATTGTTCCAGCATTGTTTCCATTATAGTTGTGGTTTGGACTTTGAACTTGGAATTTAAAACTTTATAGTTATATAGTTATCGTTCTTAGTGTGAACAGGCTTTAAATCCGTACATAATCTAGAGAAGTGCTTCCGTTACTCAGGGAGCTAGCTTAGCTAAATATTCTTTTTAGCTAGTCTATAAACGTTTACTTTTCTGTCTATTTGTGTCTGATAGCATGGCCATCTCGCTGCCTTCTCTTTGCTAAGGGACAGCACGTTTCAGCAGTGGTAACTGTTCGTACTGATGAAGGAAAAGCACTTTGGTGACCCACACTACACTAGCATTACATTTACCATGATTTGCTAGCCTTTTAAATGTACCAGTTGTTTGAGGAGATCACTCTAGGGCCTTAAAAGCTTAGTTTTTATGGGTCTCGATTGCACAAAGTGCTTCTCAACTAATGGGTCATGACCCAAAAATGTGTCTCAGGGCTGTTTTGATAAGGTTGTGGACGGCAGGGAAAAAATAAGAAAAATAACGCTAAATGCTAATGATAAAATGAAGTTTTGGTACTGTGAAGGTTATCACTTGAGGTCATGAAGCAAAACCAGATGAGAATCAGTAGGTTAAAGCATTTCAGTCATCAACCAAGTTAGTGAAAATACACTCCAACTATTGAACCTGTCCAGCTTGCTTCATTTAACACAGGCATGTACCATTATTACAGAGCAATTCCACAAACCACCTGCTGTTCCTCCCACAGAACAGAATGTATTGTGATGATTTGTTTTCTGTGTGAGCAAGATTGGTGGACTGTTTGGTTTTGGATATGTCAGTGAGTAATGTTGTGGGGTCATTGACTCAAGATGAATTGCTCTAAGTCAGATTAGAGGGATTCAATTAGATCAGGGAACACTGGGAAATGTGACCGCTTTGGTCTTTACTCATTTAATTTGATACTGCCATCTTGTGGCTATGTATTGTTAGCGGCATTGTACATTTAGTGCATTGTTTTCTTAGTTTATGCAAGTACTGTTCAAATAAGACCATTAAATCTTGATTACTGTCCCAGGATCCTAAATCGCTATGCTACACCATCTCAAGATGCTTATATATTCAATTAAACGAACCATACTTAAAAGGAAATTTCTTGAAACATAAGGGAAAACTGGTAACTAAAGTTTTTGCCTCAACATAAAGTTATATCGATTTCTGAAATTCTGGGACACCACTAAACCATAATACATATGGAAAACAAGTGGACATGGTGGTGAATGTTCTGTGGCCGATCTGTCAAAGTGTGTCCAAAGGCTCAGCTTAAAATCATCCAGGAAGCCACAGTGGATCCTAAAAAACTCTTCCAAAGAAATGTGGGCTGGAAGAGGAGCAATGTTGAAACCACTGCTAACCAAGAACATTTCTCATCTGCCAAAGAGCACCTGGCTGATCCCCAAGACTTTTGGAAGAATGTTCTGTGAGTCAAAAATGGAACATTTTGGATGACATGCATCCCATTATGTCTGGCGTGAAGCTAAAATGTCATTCCACAATCTAGCCGACAGTCAAACGTGGTGGTGTTAGTGTGAGAATGCCTTACTACTTCAAAACTTGACATGATTTGTTTAAAGTGAAATTTTGAAATCAAAATAAATAAATACATTCCCTAATAAAAAATTGATGTTGTGGTGCCATGGTTCAGTGCAACGTGACGTTTTATTTTAGAATATATAAGAAATTCAAATTTACATAACATTGTTTTTTATTTTTTAATTCATTTGAATGACTTATATGGTGTTATGTATAATACACATTACCTTTCAGGAGTTTGGATCTCAAGATTTAAAAAAATACTGTTCTTAGGTCTCTTAAGCAAGAATACACTTAATGAAAAAATAATATTGTGAAATATTATTACAATTTAAAATGGCTGTTTTCTATTTTAGTCTATAATATCCTACAGAAACCATTCTAATATGTTCAGTTTGATCAGTATGATTAATTTAATGCATCCTTGCTGAATAAAATGATTATCATTTAAAAAGAAAAAACTTTCCCTGAACTTTTAAATGGTAGAGTATGGTCATCATTTCTTTTACATTTTTCGTAATTGAAATTTTTGTTTATTAAAAAGGTTCTTCTGCTAGACAAATGATAGTATAAATATTACACACAGTCTCTCAGTTAATATGCATAATAATCAGTGATTAATTAGCATCCTATTGTATGTGAATTGAGTGTATTTCTGAGGCTACTGTTAGTATTGTGGCTTCTGCTGAAACAATTTTGTGGCTTGTGAATGATCTAGGACTCAATCTCTTTCTCTTTCCATGCATATTTTTTGTTGCAGAGGATGATGTAGATCTGGAGGCCCTGGTGAATGACATGGCCTCTCTTTCTTCCTATGAGAGCATCTATGCAACCTGTGGGACCCAGCATTCGGACTCAGCCCCCCTCTTGCACAGCACTGATGGCAGTGGACTCCATGGCAACAGAGTGGCCCCACTGCCACGGGCCCCTAGTAATAAAGTGGCCGCCCTCCACTCTCCTGCCCACAAGCTCCGGCGATCACAGCCAATGCACATACATGCCGTCAGGTAATGTGTATTTATATACATTATATTATATTGTATATTCACGCATTTAAGTGTGTTTTTAACTGGTAATGAAAATATGACCACATCAGTGGAATTATGATTTCCAGACTTAGAAAATCAAGCAAATTTTGAATGTGAATTAACTTTTTTCTACATTACCTTAGGAAACAATGAAGTATCAAAAATATAGAAATATTGTGAAATATTATTAGAGTTTGAATTAAATGTTTTCTGTTTTCAAATATCTTAAAATTTGCCAAATTTTCAGCATCATTCCTCCAGTCTTCAATGTCACGTGATTCTTCAAAAATCATTCTAATATGCTGATTTGGTACTCGTGAAACATTTCTTATCAATATTGAAAATAGTTGTACTGCTTAATATTTCAAGATTCTTTCTTATAAAAAGTTCAAAAGAGCAGCATTTCATTTAAATAGGTTTTATTTGTACATGTACAATTCTTTACTCTCACTTATGATCAATTTAATGCAATTGAAACGTTGATGAATAAGTATTAATTTATTTAATAAAATATTACTAACTACCGTTCGAACAGTAGCGTAGTTGTGCTGAGATATGCTTTAATATTTCATAATTTCATCCATTTTTATGAAATTTTATATTAATTGAAAATAATTTGGTCAAAAGCTGTTGAAACCCTGCTTGTATCACACGTTGTAATTATCAAGTCATTGATTATATCTAGCGCTGTGAATTTAATTTAGTGTGATTTAATTATAAAAATGGTAAAATGTTACTACAGTTAATTATTCATTAAAAAAGTAATTTTAAATGACTTAAGTATATATATAAATAATATATATATTCCCTCTTTATTTATTTTTAATGTTACCTATTTATCAGTGGGTTGATCTGGATCTAAGAAACTGTATTCATACTCTCCCCTCAGGCACGGTTGATTATATGTTATCTACGCTTGCTACATTTTAAAGTCATCTTTCTGTTCATAGTCATAATATATTCTCTCCCCAGAATCCTCTCAGACTGCTTGTTCTAATCCGCTCTTTTACACCTCACCTTTCTGCAGGGCTTCTGTATCGTTTGCTGTCTTTCATCCACTCTTCTCTGATCTCTATGACAGCAGGGTGTAGTTTCACACGCATACACACACCGAGATGGGTTCACTCAGAGGTTCCCGTCTCTACACACTCACACAGACACACAGTCTTCTTTCGTTCTGACTCGGCCATGAACCTTGAACGGCCCACCCCCTGCTACGGTTCGGATTTTAAAAACTCTCTCAGTTATTCCCTCAGTTATTATGGTCGCTCCAACTGTGCTGAGGCAGTCATGTATTATTCCCGGTCTTATTGATGTAGATCAAAGACCCGAAGACAAGTTTAGCATCTGCAGTCTATGTGTCTGTCTGCTGAACTCTGCCGAACACTACGAAAGTTCATGAACCGGTTCTCGGTTGGCTAAGTGGGTTTCAAATCTCTAGGTTTCATTCATATATTCTGTAGTAGAATCCGTAATGCGGCGGTGAGAATTTCACATGGATTTTTCTGATTTATTTTTCATTAGCCTATCGCATTACAACACTGAAGTTTTCAGGGAACTTTAGGGCTTTAATTCCCTGCTCAGCTTCATATTGATTAAAACACGGATGATATTAGGAATACTGCATGGTTAATGAACCGATGAGATTTTGAAGAAACGAGAAGAAACTATCAAGGTGGTTCGGTTAGATGTTGTAGCGCTAAGTGTTTTAGTGTTAGGAACAGTATGCATTTTTGAATAATTTTAAAGGTGAGTTCAGTACAAAAGTACAAGTACAACCTCTTTTTTTCTTGCCTCTTTGTGTCTCACCTTGTAGGCGACTTCAGGAAGAAGAGTTGCAAGTTCGTCCAACGTCTTTGCCAGCAATTCCAAACCCGTTCCCTGAGCTCTGCAGCCCCTCGGGATCTCCTGTGCTGAGCCCTGGATCTCTGCCACAGCCATCGGAGCCACATGTAAGAGTTGAAAACAGACACTGCGCTCTGCGCCCTGTAGCTATTATCCATCAGACACGCATGAGATGTTACCTGAGTGATTTATTGCAGGTATGAGACTTGTATGTCTGGCATCCTAGTCTGTTCTCATGTATGTTTGTACGAGAAACCATCGAAGTCGAGAGAAACTGAAATGATTGGAGATTCTTTGGCATTTAAATGTTGTTTCTATGGCATTTGTCTGTCTCTGCAACTAAAAACTAGTCTCGCCCTACCTTGCATTATGGATGCCAGTGGCACATTGGTTGTTTCAAAACCTAGTGTGCTGCCTTTGTAAAATATCTTGTATTTTCAAGTCATGAAGATGAGAGACGTCTAAGTTATAAGCACTTTAGCTACAGTATGTAGTTTTTCACTTAAAGGGTTAGTTCACCCAAAAATGAAAATTAGGCAGTGTTTTACTCACCCCCGAGGCATCCTAGGTGTATATGACTCTCTTCTTTCAGACGAATCCAGTCGGAGTTATATTAAAAATTATCTTTGTATGGATGGGCGATTTTTATTTAAGTTCTTTTGGACTGAAGCAATGCAACACCCACTGAGTGGCATTAAACAGCTTGAAAGATCAAAGACATTTTTTTATATAACTCCGACTGGATTCGTCTGAAAGAAGAAAGTCATATACACCTAGGATGCCTCGGGGGTGAGTAAAGCCTAATTTTCATTTTTGGGTGAACTAACCCTTTAAAGTAACACATGAAGTCATTGATAACATCAGATTTTAAGTAAGGTACACAAACACTTAATTCGAAAGTATACGTCCCTTGTCCTTGTTTGTTCCTCTCTGGCCGTAACCACCATAGACATTGAGGGGGACATGTCCCCTAAGTAATCAGATACACCCAAATTGTGCTCTGTAATATTTGCTATGCTTGATGCTTCTCTCCATTACTAATTGCTTTGTTAAGGTTTTAAAAGGCTGGTCTGCCTCAGCGGTCCAACAGTGCTCAACAGTGTCAAAATGCTTGAAATGACCAATCAAATCAAAGAATGCAGGCATAGCACTCAGCTTCACCAAATCAAAGTGCTAATGGACCCTTTTCACATTGCCGGTAGTCATCATGGTTGGGTAAACTTATGTAGCGGTGAACGGAATCTACAAGAAAATTTTTTTTTGTGGTCTCATTTGCCCCAGTATAGCAAAAGAAAAAAAAAATCTAAGATAGCATAGATATTATGTTGGTCAAAAGAGAGAAATATGTCAAATTTGCCATTATTCTTTCAGCCTTTGTATTAGAAAAACTATTTATATGATTTGCATATAGTTCAAATGCATTACTTTACAATAGCTTCTAGTTCTTTTTACTACTGCCTTTAATTTTATTTATTTCCTTTAAATAATAGAACCATTTTGTGACCGCATTTGTGTTCAAACCCCCCAAAAAATAGCAAAATTTGAGACCCGTGCTGGCAAAATGAGTCTGAATGTGCACAGGCTAATTTTGAGCTACAGGCAAAAAAAAAAAGTGAAAAATGTTGGTTTTAATCGAATTTGAGGTTTTCACAAAAATTACTTCATTAAGCCCTCGTTTAGCGATCCCAATGCTCCAAATAGTAATTAAACATCTAAAATTGTCTTTATTTGAACGTTTTCTGAGGGAAGTTTCTTCTCGCGCTGACTGACATCCCAAGAGCCCACATAAAAGGCACTTTCGCCAGCACGAAATCCCGATAAATATGCACATATACACAGAATTACAGTATTTAAATATTCACGCAAACATAATCTGTTATGCCTTAAGTGGACGTTTGGGGAACCTTTGGGGAAAAACATCAGATGTGTAACATTATATTAGATCCGTGCTTTACAGTAGATCTTAATATGTTAATCAAACAATAAAAGAAAAAAGGGAATCACTCACTGTTCTTGATTGAACTGATTTTGTAGTTTTAATAATCAATTTATTTGTAATGAACACACTAAAGGGATTTTTACATTTGATTATTTGTTTTTCTTACTTGAATGCTTTTGTTTAGATGTAAAATGAAAAGGTAATGCATTATTAGTTTCTTTTTATATTTGTTCTACTGCTTTTTTGCATCTGTTCTTATTTATAATAACAAAGATAAAATAAATAATATCTATATTAATATAGTAATTATTATTAAGAAAAGAACTGGAGGAAAAGATGCAATGTTGCTAGGTGATTTTGCTTTGGAACCTTTAGAAAACTTTTAACTAGATTTCTCTCAGAATTGACTTTGCTGACTCTGTCGACTTCAAACGGGTATAGCTCAGTTGTTTTACATCCGATTCCAGCAAACCATGCGTCATTTTGAAGGTCTTTTAATGGAGAATGTGAAATTAAAAACAACAGATTTTTGTTTTTAATTTCACTCTAACCCCCCCCCCCCCCTTATTGAGAAGCAGTATTTTTCCCATAAGGATTGTTTCAAATCAGTTGCTAATGATTACACTTCAACTTGGATGCTGCCTTAGAAGGTAACAGCCAATGTAGACACTACAGTTGAGCAGCTCGCTAGGTTTTAGTACAGAACTACTGACTCTCACAAGCTTATCAGGTTGCAGTCGTACAGAGCATTTCCTCTTTAATCTCCTGTACACCCCACACACACTCTTTGGACTTCACGGGGTCAGTCAGAGGGGTTGTTTGTAAAGCCTGTACTTTTCAAGCGTGCACTATTGTTGTATAATGAGTGCCCTACGAGATAAAATGTGCATTTGTCAAGCATTGTCACGAGTGTGAAATCCTGAATGGAAAAATGTCAGTCTCTTTTTTTGGCCCTAGACCCCCATTATATCTTTCCTTAGCATCCTCTGTGCGGAGACTCTTTTCTTGGAGATGAGAGTTGCTTTCCTTTCACACGCTGCTTGCGTTTCCACTTGCGAGTGTGTGTGTGTGTGTGTGGATGTGTATATTTGTCCAGGTCTGTGCCAGCAGTCAAAGCCCTTCCTTCCTCTTTCCTATCCTTTCTGTCCTTTCCCACAATGCCTTGCCTTAAGCTCCCTTTCCAAAGGAAAAAAAATAACTTTATTTATGCTCGTTGGCATGCGCAAGCACATAAGAGAGATCATGTTTTGTATGTCCACTCCCTGAAGCGTTCCTGGAGCTTTGAGAAGTGAAGTGTTTCCAGTTCTTCACTGAGAGTGACCTCACCTCGGGTGGGGTGACATCTTGTGATGTCCTGTATGTGCTGCCTGACTCTATTTCTGTCTTTTCATGTGAATATGATCATTTTGTTGTTGTCAACACCCTGAGGACAGTCTGTCCATCACTATTTTGTCCAATTTCTATTTCTCACTATTCTGTCTCTTGAGTCCAATCACCTATGGGCCCCATCAGCTGCTATAGACTACTACATTTCTTTAGTTCTTTCTTTCTTTCATTCATTCGTTCTTTCTTTCACTTTCTTTCTTTTTTTGTTCTTTTGTTTCTTTCTCTTTCTTTCTTTCATTGTTTTTTTTTTTCATTCTTTTGTTTCTTCCTTCATTCACTTTCGGTTGTTCATTGTTTTGTTTGTTTGTTCTTTTGTTCTCTTTCATTGTTTTGTTTCCACATTGTCTTTCATTTTTTGTTGTTTCGTTTGTTCAGTTGATTCCTCCTTTCATTGTTTCATTTGTTAGCTGGTTAATTCTTTTTTCTTCATTCTTGCTTGTTCGTTTTTTCTTTATTCATTATTTATTCTGTACTGTCACTCACTTTCGTTCTTTCTTTCAATCATGTGTTTTTCTCTTTCGTTCATTTTGTCGTTCCTTATTTTTTTCTTTTGTTTTTTTTCTTTCATTTTTTCATTCTTTTGTTTGTTCGTTCCTTCTTCATTCACTTTCTGTTGTTCATTCTTTTGTTCTCTTTCATTGTTTTGTTTGTTTCATTTGCTCGTCTGTCATTGTTTTTGTTCATTCTTTTGTTTCATTTTTGTTTGTTTGTTCTTTTGTTCTCTTGTTGTTTCATTTTTGTTCCTTTCATTATTTCATCGTTTCGTTTGTTTGTGCTTTTGTTGTTTCATTTGTCATTCTCTTTCATTGTTTCGTTTGTTAGCTTGTTCATTCTTTCTTTTCTTTGTTCTTATTCGTTTTTTTATTCATTCTTTAGTTAGTACTGTCACTCTCTTTCATTCTTTCTTTCAATCATTTGTTTTTCTTTTTCATTCATTTTGTCATTCTTTATTTCCTTTGATTCTTTCTTTTTTTATTCTTTCTTTCTGTCTTTCCCTCCCAAGTTGATCCCAGAATGCACTGCAACAAGCTCCATTGGAAATCTTCATCCAAATTGGCAGATGAAGCTGAATGTTGGCATTTGTTAAAATTTTCTTCAGTTTTGATTTGTATTGATAGAAAATAGAGTAATTTAAAATGCATTAGTATGTTGTCAGCCAGTATTTGTTTGCTATGTATTTTGTTTTACTTAGTTTTTAGATTTAGCTTAACAACTTCCCCATCAGTTTCTATGTGCTTTGCAAACATGCCGCCCTGTTGATTGTACAGTGCGCTTTTCACAGTGTTGGTCCACTATAAAGACCATATATGCTAGTATCCGCGATAGCACCTATTGTGGCAGTGCTGAGAACGCACTACATATTTTACGCTGTAGTGTGAGTGGTAATCGAAACACACACTCCACATTCAGAGAGAGATTGTTGTCACTGCACCACCCGGCCAGGCGGCTCACCTCGCTCCTATAGTTTGTCTCATCTCTGTTGCTAATGAGACCCACTACAGTCATGTCATCCGCAAACTTAATGAAGAGCACCTATGCACCTCTCTTTGATTTGATTGAGTCATTTCAGGTATGCCAACTGCAGTAGTCTGGCACAAAGCCTGACAAGGTTCAGTTCTTTGTATAGGAGATCATGATCCGCACTCATGAAAACGGTTTTCTTTTTTCATTTTATTTTACATTCATCATTGATGGGGAAAAGACGAAAAAGAAGACCGTTTTCGTGAGTGCGGATCATGATCTCCTATACTAAGTTATTTAACAGATTGACGCACCAAAATAAAAAGATTAAGTGACGGAAGAGCGCGATGCAACCAGCGTTGTAGAAGTTTCAGTTCTTTAGAACATACAGCTGGAAGAGATTCTTTGTCT